CCGACGAGGGCGAAGTTTCTGCTAGTGCTGCTGCTGCTGCTACAACAAAAACTACTACAACAACAACGACTACTAGTACCACCACTACTACTACTACTACTACTACTACTAGTACTACTACTACTACTACTACTACTACTACTACTACCGCTAGTACTGCTAGTACTGCTAGTACTACTACTAGTACTGCTAGTACTACTACTAGTACTAGTACTAGTACCAAGTACTACTACTACTACTACTACTACTACTACTAGTATTGCTAGTACTGCTAGTACTACTAGTACTACTAATGCAGTGGGCGACTATGACGAGAAGGACGGTTTGGACCTCTGCGACTCCTGCGAATCTTAAACTGAGTGGGCAACCCGTGCACCCGAAAAAACGAAGTGGCCAAGTCTGACGAAAGCAAGGAGAAGACAGGGATGGGCCACCCGTCAACCTTGCAGGAAGTGGCCAAGCTGAAGAACATGCCACATCTGTAAAGCCAAAACGGAGTGGGCCCCTTGAACGAGTGGGCCTTCGGTTTGGCCAACCGCCAGCAGAGCCGGGCACCCGTGTTTCCAACCCGACCTGTGCCGTAAAAACAGTGACCAAAACTGGAAAAAACGAATGGCCAGTTCAATCTGAAAAGAAGTAGCCGCTCTCACCGTGAACCCTCGGAGCAATGGCACAGCCGGATAACACAGCCGTGAAGCCAGCAAGGGTTGTCGGCGGCCCTTAAGCAGACCGGACGTATAGCAGGACTCGGGCACCCTGGAGTCCCAAGGAAAGAGTTGCCAAGAATCCAAGAAGGAGTGAACTCCATGCCAATTTTGCCGACCCTGAAAGCTGCGTGTCGCACGAGCCCCGAGAGGAGCGGCTAAGACAGCAAGGAATGACCACGGCCAGGGTTGAGGATAAGAGACAAAGCTAAGACAACCACAAAGGCACACGAGAAAAGGTGAACAAGTAGGAGAAAAACGTTCCCACAGCGAGGCACCCAAATCTTGTACTGCCGTTGCTGATAAAATTGCTAGTTGTTGTGAGGCATATGTCCCCAGGCGGGCAGCCGCTGCCTCAATCGCTTCAGGTTAGGCTACTTTCCTGACCTACTGAGGGGTCAACAATTGAAGCTTCACTCGTCCTTAGGCGAACACACCCAGGAGCGGGCTGAAGGCTCGTGCAGCCCTGGCAGGGCTCTCAGGAGTTGAGGGTTTTGCACTGCCCGTCGTCCTCTGCAGTCTGTAGGCCTGCAATCCCGAGCCCGAGCTGCCTGGATGCGTCTCCATCGCCGCAGCCGCAGCACGTGACTTCAGGTCATTGCATGTCGCACTTGCCCACCTTTGAACTCAGGAAAACACCTCAGGTAGTGCAGGCCGGATCTGCGGAGTGCTGTAACATACAGCCGAACGTGTCAACACCCGACGTGAGGTCACACGCTCCGCCTGGCAGACCTCCTTTGAGGGCATGGGGAGTTGGCAGTGTTTCAGCAGTGTTTCACCCGCAACATGTGACGTTCCCCAGGCCCCGAGGCACTACAGGAATGTCAGATTCAGACGGTGCCCTCACCCGCACAGCTGTCGCCATAGTCCACGAAATACATACATCTGCAAGAATCCGCTTTGAAGAGCAGGTGAGTCAGGTGAGTTCACCGCAGGCACAAAGACGGCCTGCTTCAAGTGAGCAGCAGTCCCGTGCTTAAAAGACTGAGAAGAATAGAAGTTTTCCAGGTTGCTTTGGCTTTGTGCTCACACTTTGTTAGGAACCATGCACGAATGCATGGTATCTCCCCAACTGTGCCACCATAAGATGGCCGTTGTTGCTACGAGAGTTGATAGGGCGAAGCATCCGGATGGCGTCTCCAGTTGGAAGTCTCGCTTCAGACATCAGGTTCTGGCATCGTCCGGAAGCTTCACAGTTTCATTTTGGACATCAGGACTGTTTAAACTTAATCGTGTCAAGAAGACAAGAAGAATTTGAACCTGTCAAACGTGCAGGTGGTGGTGGTCGTTAAGCCCACCTGTTTCCTTGAACATTGCCCGAAGGCTGTGACGCGAGGTTGACTTTTACTGTGGTGGTGTGGCAGTCTGCCAGCCCGGGTGAGTTTCACAATGCTGAAGCATCAGCTCTAGGGGACTACGGCTCCAGCATGGGCTTCATGCTGCAACCGTGATGCTTTGGCATTCGGAACCTGGGCTGGGCAGATATGCGAAGCAACCCTGGGCGAAGTGACAGCTGATTTGGTCGCGGCCTTGGTCGTTGCAGATGTTGTGAATGTTATGCATACCTTGCTTGCCGCCTGACGCTGCGAGTAATCAGCCATGTTGAGCGCCGCGTCCGACATAAAATCTAACATTGCGTAGGTCTAATATAGTTAGCTGTTCCTGAGTATTTTGATCCGATGTGATCCACCACCCTCAATCTACGTTGGGGTGGAAATCGTGCTTCTGCCACAGTCTTGTGCTCAGGTTGGCCTTCAAAGAGCTCGTAGTCGCTATGTAAAGTAGCAGGGCTACACAGGCCCCAGTGCGGCCCCAGTATATAACAACACACTCTCGGGGTTTGGGGATGCGACGAAACTGGCAATCGCAGTCGCGCCACGGACCGGTACGTCTTTTGGGTGCCGCCACAGCCCATTGCGTTTCCGCACCCGCCGGTGCCATGCATGTTCTGGTTGCCACCCAGCAGTCATGTTCCCGCTCTTGCGGTGCTTGTCGCGTTTCTGAATCGTGCTCCTGCCAAAGTGCAGTGCGCAGTTTGGACTGACGCGTGGTCTTGGGAGCCTCGGAGATGCTCTCGGAATGGGTCTGGGGTAGGCGGCACACACAGCCATAATCCAGTTGGGAGGAGCATGGAGGAAGTGTCTTTCTGCATCTCACTCTGCAGAAGCTGCAGGTCATTCTTCCTGCCGACTTCCACAGAGAACCTCGCATCGTGGCTCACACACCTGACCTTGAAGTTTTAGTGACGGAGCGAAGCTCCTTGAGCTCACAAAAACTACAGCTGACCACTTCGACGCGAAAGTTCTGCACGGCAGACCCCAAGAAAGCGGATAAAAAGATGCGGCAGCGGGTTTCACAGGTACGACATGACACGACAAATCTGGGCATGGGAACCTTAAAGACTTAAAGGACTAGCAAGGGCGAAGTTCCGTAGGCAAGGCCGGCATGGAAGTGAGAGCACGGGGAGTATGATGCCCGCTCGCACAGCTTTGCAGCTTCGGGGGAGTGCATCAACAAAGCAACCCTCATGTACAGAAAGCAAACGAGTGCCACGTGGGAATGTACTCGAGGCGGTATTTCGCACGGCGACGGCTTGCGATTAGTTTTGCACGGCGGGCTTAGGTAGCATGGAACAGTCGTTGTTTGATGTTGCTTGTCTTGAAAGCCATACAGCATCTTGAATTTGACCCACTGAATTTTGTCCACGCATGTCCACGCACTTTGTGGCCGCCTGCGATGTGCCTATCGGGAGTCAGTCCCGGACATGAAACTGACTAAACTCGGAGCTACTTGTACCGTAGGGGTTGCGAGATATCTGCTGTGTGTCTTTGCAACAGTCGTAGGCTTCTGTGTTTTATCGAAGAACGTTCTGGAGAGGGTCGTATGGGTTGTGTGCAGCGTAAAGTCATGCCCGAGTGATAAACCCATGAGAGGACTCAGCTGCAGTTTTGCCGTACCATCAGGTCTGGGTGGCTCTGAACGCATGGAACACATGGAATCCTATCCTCGATGAAGAATCAATCTTTTCAGGTTGACTGGTCGGCCCCCCTCCGCCGAAAAGATTTCTGAATGTCAGTGACTTTGTGCAGATGCTGGGCAGGTGACGTCTTGTACATTAACTATTGCTGTTACAAATTACAAATGGAAAATGACAAGAGCCGAGCATCCACGACGACTTGAGAAGGCTAGACGAAAGCTCGTTGGCAAGGGTTGGGCATTGCAGGAAAAAAGAAGTGGAAGGCAAGGGCGAACAAGGGATGTCGCAAAGGTGCAGACGAGGGCGAGGGGGTCGAGCGGGGTTGGGGGCCGGGCTGTCAAAGCAAGGAGTATGAGTAGGTATTGTACCTGCAGGCTTTTTTGTTCATGTGCGCCACAGTGTAGGTTCCGCACACAGGCATCATTGTCCTACAGTCATACACAATCGCTGGCCGTAGATAGCCTCCTGCTCCGCAGGAGGTTGCGACGAGTGTGCATGTTCAAGGGGTTTGTTTGTTGTGCATGCCATGACTTCCCAGAGCAAGAGTCCATCGCAAAAGCACTCAAAAGCTAATGTTGAATCTCAAAACCTGGCAAGCCCACAGGCAGAATTTCAGCCAGCTCAAATGTGTTTCTATTGCATCTTGAGTATGGGCCCAAAACTCTAGCTTTCTTGTCCGAGCTGTGATTCAAACTCCGGATTGATGATTCACATCGCCTGTCAACGATGCTTCGACGCTACACGATCTACGGCGCGCTTTTATTTGGGTTGGGTTGTCCACTGTGTATCGAAGGTGACATACTTAAGCGTTCAATCTTGTCCCTTGACGCATCAGCAAGCCGCATCTTTGCGAAACATGTCCGGTCGAATGTCGTTTCAGCATGGTCCAATTCCCTTGCACACCCCTACTGATTGCATTGCAGCATACTGCAATATCACTTCCATCGTGGCCAAGTTGTACACAGACGTTTCTGGCTTCTCGTGCAAGGAGCAAAGCAATCCTTCATGTACTGCCCTCCCACGACTATTCCCTCTGCAGGGCATGAGATCAAGGTGGGCTCAGCGAGTGGCTTGCTGTGGGCTCTTTAAATCTGAGGACAGCTGGCAAGCATTTAGAAATCGAGGCGCTTGAATTTTGCTCTCTTGAAAAGATCTCATGTATACAAAGTTCTGTGAGCAACGATGAGCAACAACCTCGAGCCGTAGATTAGTGCGATCTGTCTAATCCGCTTCGTTTGAATCTTATGCCCTGCTATGGACATGTAAGCTTCTGTACACTGTATACTCATCAAGCCAACAGCCAACAACAAAACGGACAAGCCTCCATGCTCTACAAAAGGGTTACATGCTGAGGTGGATTCGCTCTGAACAATAGTAACCAACACGACAGCCATACTTAGCCCGGGATCCCATTCCGAAACAGCAGAATCTCGCCCTTTGCAAATCGCTTGTGTTACATCGTTGTCCTGCTCAGCGTTTGTCGAAGCTCCTTGATGGGTGAACGGTTAAAAGCCAGACATGGAAAAGAGCCCATGGCGGAAATTGGAAATAGATACATGTTCTTTTTGCCTTGCAGTGTCGGCTTTAGGAACTTGAGAACAGGTCGGCAAACGGGATCGCAAGCGCACCGAACGACAGCAAGCGAAACGGAAACGAGCCTGTTTCTCAGTGGAGAGTTCCCGCTATGCCGCGAGCCATCTTGCCAGTGAGCAGACACTAACCTTTCATGTCAAAGCACATGGCATACACAACGCTTTCCAGATTCCAAGTGCAGTAATTGCTAAAGTCTTGGGCATGTGCACATGTGCGGGCTGCATCATGATGCTGTCAGTCATCTTAGCACAGCGCTTGTTTTGTTCAACACCCAGAGAAGGAATGGCTAGTCCACATCCCATGGTTTTAAGTGTGTGCGAGCACAGGCCACAAAGGCTGCCAGAACCGTTACAGGCCAGGAGGCACGGAGCTGTTGGTCGAAGCAGCCCGGCATCTGCAAATTTCGACAGCAACAGAGCGGGCATTGCTTTGACTGCTTTGGCCCTGAGCCGTTTTCAATCACAACCTCGGAAGAAGAGCGCCAGAACAGCTTCGGAGAACGAAAAAGACACACGGAAAGTCCAGAAGCAATGGGAGACGGAAGAGCGTCAGGCAGAGTTTTGGGATCATCTCTTTGAAGGGCCCGAAGATGCGTTCAGACTTGCTGGAGAGGATCCCGATATTCTGAGGCAAAAGCGGGTCATGATCATGATTTCTGACACTGGTGGTGGCCACCGTGCATCCGCTATGGCACTGGCTGATGCTTTGCAGGAGCTCTATCCGGTCCACATCACGATACGTGATGTATGGACGGAGTCGTGTCCATGGCCGTTCAGTACTGTTGTGAAGCAGTATATGTGGATGGCAAAGCACACATGGTCTTGGCGCATGCTGTGGTACAGCAGCAAGTTTCCGGTCAGCCGATGGATCATGCAGAAGTTCGCGAATGTTTTGTGCAAGCGAGTGTTCATGAAGGCAATCCAGGATGACAATCCGGACTTGGTCATCTCTGTTCATCCTGGAACACAGCACATCGTCATCAAGGCACTGAAAAAGCTGGCACGCCGTCAAGGAAGCAGGAGCCGCACTCCATTCGTCACGGTTGTGACAGATCTTGGGTCAGCTCATCCAATGTGGTTTCATCCTGAAGCGGATCGTGTGTTTGTACCATCAGATGCCGTCAAGAGCATTGCGTTGAAATGCCACGTGCGGGAGTCTGTAATCGAGGAGTATGGACTGCCCCTCAGGCGCGCATTCTGGAATGCTGAGCCGCGAACTAGACAGGAGGTTCGACAAGTGCTGGGCATCCCAGAAATTAAAACAGTTCTGGTTGTTGGCGGTGGTGATGGTGTTGGTCGCTTGTTCCAGGTGGCCGAAGCAGTTGGTCACCAGCTCGAGACTTTGGATGGTGGCGCCCAGCTGGTCGTGATTTGCGGCAAGAACGAGAAGGTGCGGAAGCAGCTTCAAGCTGTGAGTTGGCCTGCCACCGTGCATACACATATTCTGGGGTTTGTGAAGAATATGGACGAGTGGATGGCTGCAGCAGATGTCATCGTCACGAAAGCTGGTCCAGGGACGATAGCTGAGGCTTGTACTAGAAACTTGCCTGTCATGCTCAGTTCTTATCTACCTGGACAAGAGCAGGGAAATGTCGGCTTTGTAATCGAGGGAGGATTTGGTGATTTCTCCAGTGACCCTCTTGTCATTGCACGTACCGTGGTTGGATGGCTTCAAGATGAAAAAGCTCTTCAGCAAATGTCCAATCAGGCAGCTGCACAAGGCCGTCCTCGTGCAACGCTTAAAATCGCGCAGGCAATCGGCCAGAAATGGCTGACCACAAGAACATCTACGATGTTGTCGATGCTGGAAAAGCTCTTGAAAGGAGGATCCGGATCGTCTCGTCTCGACTCCGGTCCTGATGCTTCAGAGCGTGACTTGCTCTTGGATTAAGCACTCCTTTCCAGTTCTCATATTTAAGCTATGTCCGGTTCGGTGCCACTCAATCGAGCAATATCCTGAAAGTCGGAAAGCCTCGCATGCAAGCACCTCGCGAAACCCAAAGAAACAAAATGGCTCGCGTTTCATACTCCTGAAATTGGCACAAGAACCCACTGCCAGCAATCTCGTGCTGAGGACTGCCAGAACACGTTGGCCAGCAGCTGTCGGAAGCATTGCGCGAGTTGAAGCAAGCACAGCAGGAGCTGCATCGCCAGTTGCTTGGGATGGGACGTGAAATGTCGGATACACTTCTTGCCCTTCGGTGCTCAGGAAATGTACACAGGCAACCCTGTGACCCCTTCTGCGATTCTGCACGCAGAAGACCATCTCAAGTTATGTCAAGCAATCTCGCACACTCCCCTGCCACACTGTCTTGTGAGAATCCGAGAACACCTTTGCAACGTCTACTCTTTCTTTCTGCTTTTTCTGTTGGGCACGGGGCTCAGGCTGTCACGTTGAACAAGTTGCACACGGGAGAAGTGAGTTAGATGGGACATAGGGCATAGGAGAAATGAAAGGAGGAAGCGAGGAACATAGGCCGAAGAACAAAACGATTGAGAGGAAAGCATCAAGCTAATGCTGACGGGAGGTTCTGCTGAGACTTGCTAGCAATCCGTGCCAGAGGTCCGTCCACTCCGGAAAAGCGGAACCAAGACCCGTCCGAAGCTCTGGTAGATCAACACGGATCTAGGAAGAATATAAGCCAACATCCGCACACCGATTCGTCATAAGTAAAATCCGGCCAGTTGGTGATAATGCTGCAGGGGGAGTGTTTTCGCTACTGCAAAGCCTTGAAGTATCATTCATCACGCAAACCACAGGTCCAATCATCCTGTTGCCAGATTCCAGCAGTCACGTGATGCAGCTACCCAGTTCTGGATTGCTGAAGGAGGCGTCTTTGGAATCACTGCGTGCCAGCCCTTCATCAAACAAGGGAACGAACGAGGCATCGGGGAGTAGCCTCGCCATGCACGGGGGACATCAAGAAAGGAGGACTTTCCAACAGGCCAACGCTTTTCTCCGACCATCACAGACCGACCAAGCTGTGATGATTTCAGCATTCGCTTTGAGACATTTCGCCGTGATGGAGCTTGCTACTCCCGGAACACGGTGTCAACGTGTGATTTAGTTCGTGGTGGACATTGACTGCTGTCCCAACAGCCGAACTCGAAGCACCTGAAGCCCTAAACCATCCGAAACCTCACGCTTGCAGTTTCAACTCGAAGGCAAAACGAGCACAAACAACAAGCTGGTGCTTAAACTTCATATTGTCCTGCAGTACTGCAGTCTCACTCGCGACGAACGCAGCAGGTGCACTTGAATCACCAACAACTCTTATGCCCTGTGTCTGCGTGCATGCCCGAGTGTGTGCACTTGACCGATGGCGCCTGTTCTCGCTGTTCTAGCATTTGCACTGTCTGCAGATCGAGCCTTAAGTAGAAGCTGAGTGGGCCTCATACATGCATCAGTTTTTTGATGATTGCTTGGTGTTGGAGTGGCAGGACTGTCTGCATTCGGAAGCATCCCTCCGCGATGCAAAGGAGCGAGTCAGGAAAGCTTTGGCAGAGGCAGGGCAGTTCCGACGTTCGCCACAGGACCTGCTTTCTCGCTCTGGTGTTTGACTCGGTTCGGCTTGTGTTATTTCAAGACCAAGTCGCTGCCTTCACGTGCTCCATGTGCTGTTTGACACGGCTGTTCTCGCCGTACTGTCTAAGACAGTGCGAGAAGGTGCAAATGCTACTCTATTCCCCGTGTGAGCCAACAGGCAAGCATATTTCTTTTGCAAAACATGCAGCTGGTGTGCCTGCTGTACCTGGCAGGAGCATAGGACAGTGACTCGATGGCCGGCACCATGAGTGGTATTTGCTTGAATTCGCAGTTTCGGCTCCGAGTTCCACTTGAGCTGCTGTTTGCCATGGGACTTGACAGACTGTTTCCTGGGACAGGCCCCCAGCGCCCTTTGCCTTAGGGCCAGGCAGAGTTGAAGGCAGAGTTCTGTCTTCTGTCTTCTGGTTGCCGCCTAATCACTTGCCATGTAAGCTTGTTGCACGGCCATTGCCTCGTTTATAGACCCTTCACCTTCACAGTCGGCTGCTGTTCCAGTGTCCGTAGCCGTTTGCGCCTCTGAAACTCGAACAAGCATGCAACATCTTATGCCTTAGGCAATCTTATTCAGTCTCTATGTGGCTATTGTTGTCTTCACGTGTCGTTCCCTATCGCTTTTGTGCTAGATCACACCTTAAACATCTAATGGTGGTTCTAGACTCTCTCGATTTCTTGTCCTCAGGTGTGGCTGAGAACCACTGGGGCCACGATGCCAAGATTCTCGCGATCGCAACACTTTTGGGGGACCTAGCATGTGCCAAGGGCAGGCCTTGTCGCTGGAGAAGATGTTGAAGTCGTCAATGGGATCATCGGTAGTGTCTGGAGCACCTTGCATTGGTTCTGCTATCTTTTGGATTCTTTGTGTGTCCTGCAGCTCTAAGCTCTCACAGAAGACTGAGCATAGCCAAAAAAGAGATAAAAAGAGTAGCACGTGCTTTGAGAACTCCCACAATGCAGTACCTTGGGCCCCATGTCTCCTCAACTTGGGCATCCCATGGTTCACGAGATTTCCGCAGAAGCATGCATTCGTATGCCTTGGATCATGCAGTGCGTGCACCAACTTTCCCGTAACTGCTAGAACATGCTAACCTGCAGCAATGGCGGTGATATCTGCAGCTCCGCTGAATTTGCAATTCAATCGGCGCAGCGTTGCGCCCACAGTGCAAAGCAGGACCACCCGTAGTTCAGCTTGAATTCAGCTGCATTGGACAGCACATCGCTCACACGGAGCCCGCACACGCAACCGAGGGTGTCAGGGTCTTGTTTGGCTTGTTTGCTTGAAAGCTGCAGCACAGGCGACATATATTACACCTATAGGCTATACTATAGGTGTAGACTGCACAACGCACTCCGCAGTGCGCTGGGGGATTGGCGGAAATGAAAACTGGCAAGCACCCCTCGACGTCGCACACACGGGGGACGCTGGGGCTGGATATCCGTCACAGTGGCTTCTGTTGGGGCGGTTCAACTCCAACTGGACAGAGTTCTGCTGCTAGCGAGTCGTGCGGCCAGTAATTAAAGCAAAACGCATGCAGAACAAAGAATAGCCTTTCGAACATTTTCGAAACTTGATGAGGCCAGACTTGAATTCGTTCGAGTATGTTCGAGTCAAGGTTGAATCGCAGCCATAGAGCTGAAGTTTCAGGGAGGTGAGTCGAGTGCATTTGTTGCGAGTTTGTCTTGGAGGCTGTGTCTTTTTTCTTTGTTTTTTGGAGGGAGGGACCGTGAAGCACTTGAGCTTTACATAGCTAAGTCCCAACCGTCAGTCCAAGCCAAGCCAAGCCAAGCCGAAGTGGTTTTGACATGGCATTCATTTTGTGCTTATGCTGGCCACAAGACAGGAAGCTGCAAATCGGAACTCTCACACCTTGCCGCAAGACATTCAAAAGGCATCTCCAATCCGTTGGAGCAAACGGGACTGAGCCGCACCCATACAGACTAAATGGCGAGCGAGACTGAATGGTGTTTTAGGCAGGTGTAAAGATGTTCAAGGCCATCGCCCAAGGCATGTTGGCCGAGCCATGAGCGTAATTGAATACTGAATACACCTCGGCCGCAGGTAGCAGTTGATCGGCGGCACCAAAAGTGGGGCTCCCGGCAACAGAGCATCTTATCTTCGTCGCATCTTGCACCGGTTCTTGTTCGGGCAAGTCGTGGCAGGTCTCAGCCATGCAGAACATCTAGCTTGTTTGCTTCCATCGCTTGCGAGTGGTGGTGCCTCCGCTACGCACTTCTTTTCCGGTGGTGTTTGTTTCGGGATGTTGGGAACTGTCATGTCACATGTCGATGTAGTGACTAGAAGCGGTGGATCTTTTGCTGGTGCTTGAGCTGAAGACACGCATGTTTTGCAGGCTGGCGCCATTGATTCTGGAGTTTCTGGATCTGAAAAGTTTGATCGTCATGGAGACTACGGGGCTGTTCTGCAGCGACAGGCGTCCATTGCTGCTTCTCGGCAAACTCGAGAGTGGTGGGTTGCAGGTTCTCTTCATAGACAGTCTGTGCACCTCAACTTTCAACAAGGTTCAGAGAGGGTCCAGTTTTGGAGCTTTGGCTTTCCTGTGAAAGGCATTCTTTCCGAATGATGGCCAAGAAGCTGGGCGCCGTCTGCTACGAAACACAGGCTGTGCTCGGAGAAAGCTGCGAGCCGAAGCTTGAAGTGCTGCAATGGTCGACGAGCCGAAGCACCTTTGCGCCTTTGGCGCTGACGGACGGGCCTAATCGGCGCTTGAAACTCGTTCCGCACAAGCTCCCGACAAAGCTTCTGACAGAGCCGTGCCATAGCGAGCCATCACAGAATGGCTTTCGAGTCGCTCCTCAGCTCCCAAGAGCAGCCCAACCCGTGGTTCCGTTGGTCTATGGAACTTTGAAAGGCTGGCCCCTGTACGCAGAGTTCTTGTTTGCTTGGGAGGAACATGGCAATGGAGAGGCTTGTCAACTGGGCGTTTCCGTAGGAGGATCGCAAGAGGTACAGCTGAAGTTTTCGCCAAGTGCAGGAGCGATTTTTCAGCATCGAGCAGAAGGCAGTTTCCGCACGTGGCCAATGGACGATCTCTGGGTGGATGCCTATCAGCCACGCACCCAAACCTTCTTGGAAGCTGGCGTGCACATAGGTGCTGAAGGAAAGATTACTTTCTATCGCAAAGGACCTTATACACATGAACACAAAGGTGGCGGCGCAAGACAGCTAGTGTGGGAAGTTGCCGGCGGGTTTGAATGCTCGTTTCCGGGTGCTTCCGAGCAATTTCACATTGTGCTTTGTGTTTTAGATGATCAAACGCCATTGGAGGCAAAGATCTTGAGGGTTGGCACCGAGCCTCCCGTGCCCCCAGTGCCAGCACGGCAAGCTTGGATCCCCGAAACTCACGTCCAGTAAGAGTCGAGAGCTTTGGTGCTCTCGGAGTTTGTGAGGGAACATGAGTTGTGGTGCTTTGATACTGAGCTCGAGCTCGGGTCTGCCTTTTTGCAGCCTTGCAGCTCGTAGTGTGCGCCCAAGTGCATGCTTCAGCTGAGCCGCATCACCTCCCGTTTGGCTGTTCAAGCCTTTTTCCACACATCATGCGGCTTCAGTTTTGTTAATGTTTGTTCCAAACCCCCTGAAAAGATTTGTCCTTGCGGACCCGCGAGCATTTGTGGTCAACTCTGAACGAGATAGCAGGATGCAGAATGAGATGATTCATTGTCCTTGGGGCATGGTCCGCAAAGCCAGTGTTTTTGGCATTGCAGCTCTAAAGGGCTTGCATCGAGATGCCATCAAAGACTCCTGAAACACCACACTGCAAAAGCGTGCCTACAAAGTTGTTGCCTCAAAAAGATTGCCTCGTAGCGCAGCTGCAGATCGATCTTCGGCACGATCACCAGGTCCATCTATGGATGCTACATGTGATGTACTTGATCTCAGCATTTGGCGCGAGAGCTGGCAGACACCCGGACGACCAAGACGCAACCTAGACCTAGACGAGCAAAACCCGCAGCAGCAACTCGACGTAACCTTGCCATCCTTTCACAACGGCTGGACTCGACTTGCCATGCTGAGATGGAAGGAAGCGAATGGCTCCGGCACCACCAAGGGGTCAGCTCCTTGCCTTGAGTTGCGGCACGTTTGAATTTGGTGCCGAGCTGGCTTCCATGTCTTGCAACCGCGCATCTTCCCTGATGCCTGAGTCTGGGTCTATGTACGACGGATCTAACTCAACCATGTATGCAGCTGTCAACTTCACTTGAGTCCGGTAGGTGGTTGTGATGATGTAGCAACGGATCCGATCGGCCCGCATCAACCGCTCATTGGCGACGAGCACTTGGAAAACGGCCCAGGTCTTGTGCTCCCTCATGTGGAAACCATGTCACCATGTGTTGTGGTGCATCTCGACAAGCCAGCGGACAGATCTGTAAACAACACGCACCAAGGGCATCCAGCGCATCGGACATCAAATTCAGACATGTTTTGAGGGCACCGGGGCTCACAGAAAGGCGAAAGCAGCTAACATCTTTCGATCCGCACATGTGTTGTGCCAGATTGCGCGGTTTTCTTCCCACTGCTGCACCGGCAGCACGGAGAGCACCAGGGAGTTGCCGTCACTGCAGATGCAAGGTCAAGATTTTCTTTTCGAATTTCTGGTGCCGCGAGCTCGTTGAACAAGAGGACAGGACACAAGCCGCAGGCAGACAACGAGTGTCAAAAGTTGACCTAAGCAACGCCGAAACAGACTATATTCCGACTTGCATGTTTGACGAGAGATCCCACCGACTTGGCTGTCAACAAGATTTGTCTCCCTAGTTGATCAACCGAGTTCTCTGCGGTGAGCTCTACAGCCCAGGAACCCCAATCAGCGCACAGCCGCTGAGGAGGCCAAGGGCTGGGTTTGCCCACGATTGAGGTGCGAGTACTGCTAATTGCTCGTCGCGGCACAGCACAGCCCCACCTGAGGATTGTTCAGCTCGTGCAGAAACCGAGGCAAGCGCAGGGTATCCAAGGGTGGCCTACATGCAGCTCCATGCAGACACACACCACATAGCCCTGCCAGTCTGTTGATGCAAGGTTCGTTTGGCATCGCATTGGGCTACCTGGCTTGAGGTGGGACATTGCAAGATCACAGATCCTTGTGCTTTCCTTTTGGCCTCCGCTTCTTATATTAAAGCAGGTGACCAAAACATGCAGCGGCAGTGGATCGCAACCTTCCATGCTGGCGGTGGATGCTTTGCATCCTGCATCCTCTTCTGCACGACCATCGGAGGCAGCTCGCGACAGGACTTCGACATTTTCTGTGACACGGGCCCCTGGCCCTGTCCAGCGTGTTCGACGATTCTCGCCGGGAGATGACGAGGCTGCGCCGAGAAAATGATAGAACATGATTCAGCCTGTGTTTCACTTGCGGCTGGCCTGCTCGTTTCTGCTTGTTCTAAACGGCAGGATAATTAATGAGTGATTAGATCTTTATTTTGGGCTGGCACCGTTTGTGGGACCAAGCTGGCCACGAGGCCAGACTGCACGACGGCCTCGAGAACTCTTCCACTATTCACTCGTGGCTTTGCCCGCGACCCCTTGAGGCCGCGAAATAATGTAACAGCCGAGAAGGCGACAAGATCAGTCAGCTGAGTTGTGGGTTTGTTTAGCCGGCATAGGAAGATTCCAAAGTTCGTGTCCACGACAGTGTTGTCGGTGGAACATGCAGCGTCCTTAAGCAAAACGACCCGGCAACAACGTTGCCCTGGTCCGCAGCGGTTCCAGGGGCATCATTTTGCTTATGTGGTCCTGTTCTCTCAAGTGATCATCGGTCCTGACAGGCGATTGCACTGTACTGCTTGTGTGAAAACCGGACGAAATTGTTTAGGTACCAGCAAAGCTTTGCTCGTTTTATTCAGGTGTTGCCGTCCAAGACTTCGACGTCCGGATTCAGGCGACATTCAGCGCCACATGTCGTGTCGGCACGGCGCTCTATTTTGTCGAAACCTGCTTCGCGACGCCAGTCAGTCGCTTCTGGGCTGAACCTTCAGTTCGGCATGGCAAAGCGAGAATAAGCGAGATGTGTCTAAGTGTGGGTCGCGCATCTGAGGCATTAGGCGGCAGAGATCCTTGCTCGCGCCGAGTCTCGTTCTGTGACACCCCCGAAGTCCAAGATCTCACTCCGTCTCATCAGGCTGAGGCTCGGAGTGCGTCGAGAAACTATACAAGCTGATCTTCGACATGTTTTTGCGTTTGATGACAGGATGTGGTGCAAGCCCCGACAAAACAAAGGACCCAGCCTGAGCCTTACATCAACCAGAATCGGATTTCATGCGAAGATCCTTTCGCTTTCGTTCCAATGGAGTCCTTTCCTCAGCTTCGCTCGTGCGGCTGTTCGATTTCTCTGGGGTTCCGGGCTATCGTCTTTCCTTCGTCGTTCTTCCCGAATGACAGCAGAGTCATTATTAATTCCACATGGCCCACAAAGAGCTTTCACAAATCGATCACTTGATCCAACTCGCTTACGTCATGAGTCATAGTTTTAGTATGTGCTTGAGGTCTTCTACAGGTATGTGTGGAAGATATTGGAAGCTTGTGGAATTGCTTATGTACACATGTTGAACATATCTCCCGGCCAAAGCCATGCTTCAGTCAGCTGACTCTCAGAGCCGCAGGGAACCAGAAAGTGCCCCAGTACAACGAGAAGAGTACTATATACTATAGAGCAGTGGTAGTAAAGGCAACTTGCACTGTTCGTTTATGGTTCCGCTTCCGAAACATTGCCGTCGTGTTTTGGCGAATCTCCGCTTAATGCCGCCCAGCTTGGTTTGCATTGCAGGCAGATGGGCGTGACGCCATCAGATGAAGCTTTCGCAGCTTTCAGAGTGAAGAACGTTCTTGACCAGGCGGTGCACGTTGACAGAGACATTTCGAATGATTTAGATATGTCTTTGTCTTTGATTTTTCTTCGGAACGACAGGCCGAACCACTCGTGCCACAAGGTTCACTCCGAGCACATGTTCCAAAAGAGCCGAGGCATCGTCTGGAGAGTTGTTCAGTACCATGATCGCCGTGCTGCCTGTGCCCACGAGCGTGTGCAACAGGTACCATGCGCCTGGCCACCACCACCACAGCGTTGTGACACAAGCTTGCATTCTTTGTGCACTGCATGTTGCATACGTTGCGCTTTCGTGACTCTTGTCGCGAATGTCGTGTCAGATCTGAGGGCTGTCCGGCCTGCGGCCATCGATGCTGAAATGCCGCCGTATTCAGATCCTGATGGGTTGGCAGCTTGTCTTGGTAGACGTACGACAGCGCCAGGTATGAGCTACTGCTTGATGGGTTTGCGCCAAGGCAGTGCTTCGAACACGGTTGGGCGAGGTGCACTGACGATGCAATCTTGGGCAACTGGGCAGAACGAACAACTCCAACGCGGATATTGCCGCCAGGCGCAAGGCCAAGGGATGCAGAGCCGAGTCTTGCGGTGCCACAGCTGCAGTGCATCAGCGTCACTTGCCTAGTTCACCCACTTTGGATTGCTCTACATAAGTTGCAGTAGGAAAGTCCCGAGACCTTGAAGCAGGGCGACAACACCCCAACATTTGCGCCGCTGCCCACGGTGCCGGGATTCAACACGCATCTCATGCAATTGCTGATGTCTAGTACACATGAATTATGCAGATTTAGATGTTTTCGTCCTGACAAAACGCTTTCGAAGACTCCACAACAGCTGCACCAGCAAGGCTGCTGGTCAACTTTGAAGAGAGTACTGTACGAAAAGGCATATAGCTTGAGCCAGCCTGCCAAGGTATGCGAACCCCATCAGCAGCTGTCTTTGGAACTGCAGCCTGTAAGCCCATGACAGGTCTAGACTGCAAGCTCTTGTCACTGTCTCGGCCCCTGTTTACGGCTCCGTCAGCACAGCTGTTTGCCAAAGCAGTTACGAAGTCGAAGAAACCCTAAAGATTCGTAAAGACAAGGATTCCTAAACCAGCCAGAATTCTAGAATTCTAGAAGCGATGGGCATCGAGCGACCACAAAGTTGTGTTTGAACCAACCGGCCGGCAGGTTTGATTCTTCGACAAAGCAAGCAGCTTTCGTTTCCGGCCGACAGTAACATGAAGCTCAACCCAAAGAACACATGTCACGACGAAATAGAACACATTGTCAGTAGCAGCGTTTTTTCGGAAACCTCGGACGCAGCGCTGTTCATCATAGAGTGGGATGGATGGCTTTCTAGCATACTCATGTCTGCAGGATGATCTTCTTGATGATAGAAATCCTGCATCACCAATAGTAAGGAATAGACCATAGTTCCTATAGTTTAGGGTCCTTAAGGTAATGCAGGATTTACATCATCATAAGTAGTTTCACTGCACGCGGACGTCATGATGGACGAGGTGTCACAGACCAACATCCCGGAGCATGCAGCAACATGCAGCATGCGATTCTGGAGATTTCTGTGTCGTGCTTGACGAGGAAAGCTCCTCACATCAAGATCCGCATCCGTCGGGCTTTCAACCGGGGACTCGTTCACCATCATCACCATCTCCACCACAATGGGCCGGTGGTCGACTGCCTTAGTGATTGCATAGACTGACTTGTTCCTGTTGCCGCTATGAAGAGTGTCCGATCAGATTCCAAACACTTCTTATCATGCTCACATCCTCCAAGGTGATTTCTGATGCAGGGCAAGTTGCACCGCCAATTGTGGTGCACATTAGAGCCCCCGAAATACTTCCAGCAACTGGTGCCAGCGTCGCTGTCTCAGTCTTTCTGACATCTGCTGTCCGTGTATGAATGAGAAGCGTGCCTGGACGTCCCAGCCAGGCTCTTCCGACTCCATCTCCGGTGGAGCCTCCCAGTACTCCCCTGACTTCCGCTGCACTGCAGCGGCACGAGGACAGGGGCGGCAGGGGAGTCGTGGCAACTCACGGTCCAGTTCTTTACAGCTCCCGCAGGCGCTTATGCAACAGCAGCCAGTTGACCATTCTTCGACTGATGCCATGGCGCAGCTAGTTCAGCATCACTGTCACCACAATTCTTGCTGCTATAGAAGCAACTGCATCACATGAGTTGCCTTGTCCGAGTGTAAGGCAAGCCGGAATTCCCGCCAGCTTATCCCTCGGCATGAGCATGCACCAGGGTGCAATCTTTGGTGTCGTGTCCACTATTGCCGTTGAGGCACGAGTATTAGAGAGAGGTGACATTTCCGAGTGAGGTCAGGACTCCTGACAAGACTTATCCGAGAAAACGGGGTTCGGTCGCCCGGTCGTGCGAGCAGATGCAGTGATTTTGCGATCATTCATCTGGTCCTCATCATATTTATAAGCCTGAGCTTGCTCTTGATTGAGGACCTCAGGATAGGCATTTTGAGGTAAACCGACGATAAATGAGTGCTGCCCTCCCTAGACAAGCCGTTGTCAGAACGATGCAGTGCCACAGGCGATGCAGATCACACTGGCCGAGAAACGAGGCTGCAGCACCAGCTGTCGCAGGGTTAGCAAGTCGAGATGCACAGAAATCCTTGTCGGCACACGCTTGATTTCGCTTTCAGGCAATGCAGCGGATCAAACCGCAAGCATAGCTTCTGCAGCTGTCCGTGGTGCCGTTGTGGGCGCAGCAGGAGATCTCAGCTTTTGCACTACTCTGTCAGTTTGTCAGTGCATGTTTATGGTATTTTGTGTTGCACTACCAGTAACTGACTCCCGTTGCGTCAGTGTGTGCAGGAGGTGGCATGGCACTGATGCTGGGCCCCACAGCGCCTACAGACACTCAGCAGAACTTTGCAGCACAGTCCGGGATGGGTGCAGTTGAACTTGACGATGATGTTTTTTTTTTGCCAGCTTGAGTTGCCACAGCAGCCTGTAGAACCCGCGGAGTCCTGTGTTGAAATCCAGTCAAAAGCCGGGATAGCATTAGTAGTTCTACTGTCATGTCAGGCGATATTCGTGGGTCGTGACCTTACAGGTATGTGAGCCCGTTGTTTGCAGTTGCATGTGCTGCAGTGACTCCGGGCTCGATGTTGACCCCGGGGGTTGATGGCCCCTCATCGGTCCATTTGCCAGAACCTATGTACCCGTGATGTCCAGGCTATAGCTTGATTCGTGAATGGCTGGCGCAGGCGCATGTGCTCTTCGATGAAAGTTGGTTGGAGACGTCCACAAAGATGTCTGATAACTTAAATCGCTCGACTGTCAATATTCCTTTGACCAAGCTGTTGACCGCTTTGTCTCTCCGACATATCGGCATTTGTTGACATCAATCAAGGTTTTCATCTGAAGGACGGTGCTGTCATGCAAGCCAAGTCGCATGTTTCGGTTTTGACGGGTTCAGCCCTGCAGGGTTATTCCTGGGTGCACAGCGAGATCACGGGGCCTGTGGCCTTGAACCGCGCCGTGGAAGTCTCTGGCAGTGCTGCCGGAGGGGTGGCGGGCGCGAGGAGCTCAGAGTCGTCTGGAACTGCTTTCTTCAGCCGCACAGCCAGGGCCGTCAAACCCCCTAAGTCTGGCCATGTTTGGCCTGTGATGTGCTGGCAAGATTGTGAGAACTGACAGCATACGAGCGAAGCACAGAACGTGCTTACGAACGTAGAGAACACAACCAGACATCCGAACAGAGCATGGGATTCTGGAGCAGGAAGAGGCCATTGTTGGGGAGTCGGCCCAAAACGGCACCTCGCGCCCGGATATTTCCTGTGATTTCCACATCTCCACGCATCATGAAATGCTCCGCTCGAAGGAAAGGGTCCCTTGTTGGAGATCTTACCAACCGCACTGAACCGCTGGCTTCGACAAAATTGCAAGGTAAATAGTAAAGTGGAGATGCTTCCATGGCCAAGGCAATGACCGCTGCCACACTTCTCAGTGGCTGTGGCGGTGTGGTCGTGGCAGCTGCAGCTGGCTGTAGCGGATTTGCTGGCAGCTTGGGTGGTCGTGAGGTGGTGCCCTAGAAGCAACTGGGGCCTGGGGCAAGACTGCCCCCACAGGCTTTTGCACAAGGCGTGAAACAAGCGGTGATTGGCTTCCGAATCGCTTGTCATCCCGAGGCAATAAAGTTGAAGTTGTGTGGTCGATCTTTGTGAAGTAATACGAACATGTAAGTGATTGTAAGCTAGGAGAATGGAGAATCCTTCCTGACATGAGTGTAGTCAGGTATTGTTGGTATCTAGTTCTGCACAGCCACAGCCACAACCCAGTGAACCTCATCAAACAACCTGCACACGCAGCGTCTGGGTGCACATGGTGGTGGTGGTAGTGGTGGTGGTGGTGGTGGTGGTGGTGCCGGGTGGCACATGAGGCCTTACCTTAGAAAGGCCTCGTGGATTCTGCAACCTGTTTGCTGAGGCGGCCTTGTGTTTCCAGTCTTTGTCTTCAGAGAAGGCGCCGAAGCGAAGGACCAGCCGCTGCAGCAGCGGCGGTAGCTCAACAAGACGCAGAGCCTTGTCATAGTTCGTGTAATGCAGTCGAAGTGGCTTTTGAGGAATGTCAAGGCTGCGACGGATCTCGGGGGTTCTGGGGGGATTTCTGGGGTCTACATGCGGGAGATGATGTGGCCGAAGACTCCTCACTTCGATCACGACATGGCGCAAGCAAGGAAACTCGAGAGATCACACATCCTTCGAGCCAGCATCTCAGTGGAGCACCTCTGACTGAAGCGACCTCACCGGAATTGCTTGTTCGATCTTTTCGGAGCGTACACGAGGCCCGAGCTTCTGGAGGCTGGGGGAAAACCGAAGCCGTGCAAGCGACACCACTTTCGGAAGATGTACCAACTGCCAATGTTCGGAGTTTGACTGACAAGATATAAGGCGTATTCCCTTCTTGGTTTGGACCCGCGCTGCACCAACACCGAGCTGAAGCATGCCTTTCGCCGTGCTGTCGCTCTGCACAGTGCAGAGGTCTTGCCCGGAGAAGCTTGGCCGGCACGGTCAAACTCTTTGGAGTGTCCTCGTCATGTACCATTACACGTAGCTGTCACTGATGAAATTTGCAAACTAAATCGGCTGCTGTGAAAATCCAAATCTTACAAGTACTGGTTTCAGCCAGGATGGCGCAGCATGCCCTCCCTTCGGAGAGGTACTGCGGGCCATGGAACTCATTCGATCCACTCGGCAGATGCCTTTGCTGGATGTGAGAAATTTGGATGGAGGGGAGAACCTGCGCATCTGCAGACGTCCGCTTGAAAGTCTGCCACTTCAGTCTCACTCGCAGCTTGCCAGCTTCATTGGTGGCATGGCAGCTCAACCCACAACCAGTGTGGCATTCTGATAAATGTCTTCTGAGACACTGTTTCACCAGATCATCAGAACCAGTTCGCCTGGGCTCACAGGGAGCCCGGCTGTACATATACCATCTGTGCACAGCCGATAAAGCACGTTGTATGCCCGGGCTGGGAGAATCTTTGAGCGCCAGCCCTGTTCGCGAATGTGCGGCCGCAATGCCATGCACTGCTCCAAGGATAAGTCAGGAAGGCCCTGGTAGGCATCGACGATGTCTTTCAAGGACGAGGCGACAGCGTCGTCACCTCCCGATTATCGTTGTGTAGGTCTTCGCGAGACGATGATGTTCTACTTGAATTGGAGTGATTGGGCGACGCGAGCTTTCTCTCGATCGCAGGATGGTGAGTGATCGCTCAAATGCCTTCAAGTGGGCACCTCCCTGCTTCCAGGGCTTTCACTCTCGCCAGTGGCTTTGGCGACCCGCAGTTTGCTACAATGCGGCCTCTCCCCTTCGGTCGCATCAGTGCGACCGCCTGCACATACCTGCACCTGTGGCTCGTGCCAATGGCATTTAGTATCCAATGGACTGCATGTCCTCTGATGTCGTCTTGGTGCCGATGACCGGGTGAAGCTTAAGCTGGTTGAAACACGCCATAAACCCCGGCTTCGTCCGGCTTCGGCCCACATTTCGAGTTGTGTGCGTTGATTCCTGCATATTCCTGCCGCGCCAAAAGCCTCGTGCCTCCATGGGATCCCGGCACTGCCGGCATCTTCTTGCTGCTACTGAGACTCTTTCCGAGCTAGCACTGGTTCGACTGTGAAATCCACAATGCATCGGCATGAACTTGAACCTGCCAAGCAGGACGCTCGGACAGACCGCGTCAGTTCACCGGCACCGGATCTCGATCGACAGGCTTTTTTCGTGAGCTGCAGAAAAAGGGACGGCTTGGTTTTAGGAGAAACACGCTCAGCCTTTCCAGCTTGGTTGGCGACCTACAATCGCCTAGTTTTTACAAAAGAGCGTTTCTCTCCATTGGTCTCTTCATTGTTGGTTCAGCCCAATGCACCATATAGCTTCGGTTTCCCATGCTTCCCCGGGCCAGGTTGCGCGGACAGTGCCGTAGCAGATGTCCGAACTTCATGCTGGCAGACCGAAGTCAGGGCACGTGCGGACATTCCTTCGGGATCCTTCAGTTTACCTCGATACAGCTACGCAGGTTGCATGTCAGTTTGACACTAAAGTCTTCACTCTGCACACTAGACAAAATGACATTGAAGCAACGGTGCCCACCACGGTGACCACAATCAGCCGTGTCTTAAGGCTTGGTGAATGTTGTAGCCTTCAAAGCAGGTTGGAGAAGCACGACCGACATGTCAGTGCCGTGTTGTCACAGGTATCAGCCCACTTCATCTGGCACCAGCATTAAGTCATGCATGGCAGCAACGACTTCAGGGTACATGACATCCCCACTTCGCAGTTCAAAGTAGAGGATGTTCTGAAGATGCTCGATGTCTTCGAGCGACTCGGAGGCGATGGCTGGCCGGATGAGCCTAAGATGCCCATGCTCGATGCACCACCCGTACCCGCATATTCGATTTGTCTCACATTGCTGTGGCCGGTGCCAGTGTTCATCTTTTGGCTTCTGGATTTCCTTCTAACTCGCCGAAGGCGCACAGTCCGCCAATCCAGCGCAGATACAGACGGGGGACAACAACAACTTGCAGCGCATGACGAGGACACAGACGCTTCACAAGATTATCCGATACGTTTGAGCACGTTCGCGCGGGAAACACGGCCCGGCCATTTTCCAGTGATGCTGGCATCTTTGGAGCATTCCTTGCCGCACTTGGCAAAAGGTCGGGCAACGGCAGGAGGACTGGGAAAAGTCGTGGATCTCATTGCAAGGAAGCATCCATCCGACATATTGCTGGTTCATCCGATGCTGAAAGAAGAGGATGGAAAACTGCAGTACGGGCAACCGCACGAAGAGCTAATGCCTCTCCGACTCGTAATCGGAGGTGAGCATTGCAACGTCCGAGTGTATAGGTTCGTACCGCCACAGGATCCGGGCATGACAGATGTTCGAGTGGAATTCCTCATGTGCCTTGGCCTCTCTTGACCCTGAACAGCACAGCCCGCATCAGCTCGCGATACTCCTTATGAGCAGTTCTCCTTCTGCAAAGTGTCTGAGTAAGCTAGTGGCTCGACTGCGCAACAAGATGCAACGAACCAGAGCCAAGGTTATCGCATGAGATTTTCCAATCACGGACGCTAGATGGCAGCTCAGCAGCAAGCTATGTTAAATTCGTCGTTCACGTGTTGACGAAACAGGTTTTAAGTTTTATTCCTTCGCAACATTTAATTCAATATCAGGCAAGCTTCGAGAACAACATGACAAGCCAGCTCAATACATTAGATATAACTGTGTCACATTGTGTCACTAGACTTACGGCTAGAATTTGCGGGCTTCGCGAATACAAACAACGGAAGTTGTAGCTTCAGCATACTCTAGCTGTAGAGTTGTGCGAAGCATCGTCCAGGCATTTATCCAAATCCTCTGTCGCGACGAGCGGTCCTGAAATTCTTTTCGCTGTGGAACCAAGCGGTGGGTGCTCTACTGGCTCGTCACAAGCCCCGCGTCTTTCATTGCCCAGATTTTCACACTGCTATCGCACCCTGGTACGCGTTGCCGGAGCATCCAGACTTACGAATGCTGCTTGTGCTGCACAACGCGGAATATCAGGGAACTATCAGCACAGACATGATCTTTGGGACCAGGCTCAGCACCATAGCCTCACTGTTCAACTTGCCACCGCGAATGGTGGAGGACCATCTGGTTCTGGATGGGCGGTTTAACATGCTCAAAGCAGCTGTCGATTTCGTGCGAGAGAAGCAGGGTGGTCGTGGTGTTTGCGCAGTCTCCCAGTGGTATGCAGCTGAGTGTCACGCAAACTACGGCGTTCTGTGGCCATTGCCGAGTATACAAGGTTTGGACAATCCAATGCTCGAAGAAGAGCGAGCTGCTGTGAAAGGAGACATCAATCAAGCTAAAGCTGAAGCTAAGCATCGCATCCAAACGAGGTTTGGTCTTCAAGAAAACCCCAATGCGCGCCTCTTCGTTTCATTGGGCCGACTGGTGCGCCAGAAGGGCGTCGACCTCATCGCGGATGTTGCGGGATGGCTTCTGTCAGAGCATGTGGATGCGCAGTTGATCTTGGTGGGTCCCATTGGAGATGGGTTTGGCCACTATGCTGCCAGCAAGCTGCAGCAGTTGGACGAGAACGGACAATACCAGGGGCGACTGTATGTGAATATCCAGTTCATGTTTCTTGTCAGCATTTAAATTGCAGGAACAGCAGTGACAAGCGTACGAGCCATCAAGGCGAGATCCTGAAGCTCTGAAGGACATGAAACTCGGTCAGCACCTCTGCTCTCTGCTAGCCCGGTGGAAAGCACCCGCCAGCAGCTTGCTTCCAAGTCAGCCTGAGGTGCGGACTTCTGCCTTATGCCTTCACGCGATGAGTCATTGGCTTATACACCTTTGCATCACGCTGGCGCATGCCTGTCTCTTGCTACTCCTGCTGCTGCCACTGCTGCTGCTGCGTTTGCTACTACTGCCGCTGCTGCGACTGCTGCTGCTGCTGCTACCATACTACAACTGCAACTGCAATGCTGCTATTTACTCCTGCTGCTGCTACTACTACTACTACGACTACTACTACTACTACTACTACTACTACTACTACTACTAAGTACTAACTACTAACTACTGTACCAACTACTAACTACCGCAATCACTACCACTACCACTACCACTACCACTACTACGACGACGACGACGACGACGACGGCTACGGCTACGGCTACGGCTACGGCTACGGCTACTGCGACTACAACAACAACTACTACTACTACTACTACAACTACTACTAGTACTAGTACTAGTACTAGTACTAGTACTAGTACTAGTACTAGTACTAGTACTAGTACTGCTACTGCTACTGCTCTGCTACTGCTACGGCTACTACTGCTACGGCTACTAGTTCTAACAGTA